AGATGTATACGATATTTGCTGGACTCCTGATGGAAATTATATGGCATCTGCCTCAGTTGACAACACAGCTATATTATGGGATGTCAATAAAGGTAACTAATTGTTAAAGCTCAAATTGCATGAAATTACATGCAATGAAATCTATAACAACCAGACTATTCACATGCTTTGAATAAATGTGTGTATGCTATGTATTCTTGTACATATTATTACAATCTCTTTCATTTTAATTGTAAAGGCAAATTGATGAGTCAGATAAAGTAGCATGCTAATTAATTTACTTGCCTAATGTATCAATAGAGGATTAGAAGAATTCAGGTATGCATATATTGTATTTATATGCTGAGATATTTACTGGGAAAATTAGGAGGTATATTAATAATAGCAATAACAGTTTCTACAAATTGGAAAATACTATGAATCATAAAACTATGTGTCAACGCTGCAAATACTGTATATTCTATTTTTTTATATCTGTTATACTTGTTAGAGCAAATCTTGACTGTTAGGCCATCATAGAACCCTTGACAAGGCACTGTGTAACACATTGGATCTGCAACATGAAGTAGTCATGGTGTTTGATGGTGTGGGACAGCTGGTACACAACCTTCTCAAGGTTTTCTCCTATATGTTTGCATGTCCTGATGCCACTTTCACCAGCTATTCCAGATAATGGAATATCTGCTGCTAACATAAACATTTGTCAGGATAACCTTGGAAAAGCACTGAAGCAGCCATTCCAAGCCTTCAAGTAGCTGTATCAATTTTATATCTTTGCTGTGTGAATCTAGAGCAGTGGTTAAATTACAAATGAAATATTCTGTCAAAGCATGCAGACCTACTATCCATGCCAAATAAATTAACTTGGACTTATATAGATTTGTAAGTGGATTAAGTGCTGATGATATGGTACAATGTTACATCATTATAGAAAAGAATATTTCCAGCTACAGTAAAAGATTTCAGAACCCATTAAAAGGGATATTTACTCATGGTTTCCTTTCTTCCCTTTTAAATTTTATTTTGTAACATTTGTAACTCTTTGTGGATAATATGCTAGAAGCAGCAAAAAGAAGTATTAGTGTTAAGAATATTAAATTTGCAACCAAAGAGCATTTCAAAATTATTAGATTGCTGACTCTCCTATTTAAAACAAATATGCAATTTAATTGCTTATAATAATACCGTTTATTTTTATATCATTAAAGAGTACATATTGATTTTAACTGCATAAAAATGAAATTGTTTATTGTACTTATTTCTCTAATTAGTTTCTAAAATGGAAAGAAAAAATATAGGTTATAAAAATTGATATGAGGGAAATTGCTATAAACAGAATTATTTGTCTCACTGTTTTGAAAATTAACTTAGTGTTGTTTCTAGGGCAAAAGGTTTCTATTTTCAATGAACACAAAAGTTACGTGCAAGGAGTTACATGGGACCCTGTAGGACAGTACATTGCGACTCTTAGTTGTGATAGGTACGTTTTTACTGCTTGGAATATGAGATTGTTATTTTAATTGATTCTGCATTGTTTAAAAGTGTTTACAACAGTTAGGCAATATATCTAATGGTCCATAGTAATGCAGGCTAGAGGCCATAGAATCTTTTGTTTTATGTGCTGCTATGCACCAATAAAGTTTAGTTTTTTTTCTAATATTAAAAAAATTATGTACGGTACTTGTTCTATTCAGATATATATATATTCAAAGATCATTGGAAATAACTCAGATATAATACAGTAATCTTATGCATCAATTTCCTTTAAATATTACTGTATTATTATATTGTTCCTAAACAAAAATTGTATAGATCTGTACTAAATGGTATTGTAGCTATTAGTGTTGCACAAGGCTTTGGTTTTGATTTAGCCGAGATGCTTCAAGATGCACAGGAGCTATCTCCAACTTATTCAGACAACTTCATCTTTTTTCATAATTTTACAGTTGCGGGAGACAAGCTTCCACTGCAGCCATGTGTGCCTAGAAATATGGCCTGTCTTAATGAGTCATGGTCTAGTACTACGTTTATACTTCTGCACATCCTTCCAAATCAAATCCAAATCAATGTACAAGCCTAATTGTAGAACACTGAAATTGATACAAGTGTTTTTTCTAGAAAAGCTTTAGAATGCAGGCATTTTTATCACCATGCAGTTACTTAGTTCAATGTTTGTAATTAATATTTTTCTTTTATGTAGGATACTGAGAGTGTATAACACACAGACCAAGAGAGTGGCATTCAATGTTACTAAAATGTTATCAGGAGGAGGATCTGAAGGAGAGGTCAGAATTAATTAAAACTCTTTCTAGCTATAGTTCTGAAATATTAAAAATATTTAAATATTTTGATAATATTTGTATGATAAATAAATATCAGTGTATTTGTACGCTTTATCACTGAAAATATACACTGAAGAATATTTTCATCATTGCTTCTAATTAACAAATTCTGCCCTTCATTTTTGACCCAAAAGAGAGCAGAAATGAGGAGACCAAAAAGGAATGAGAATTTTCAGAGACTTTTTATCTTCCATTCTACATTATTGTCCTCATTTCAGATAGTAATATAGCCTTCCAAAAGAAACTTCTTTCATTCTAAACCACTCCAGCTGGACAATGATGTGGGGAAGAGAACACCAAGCTGTTCTGAATGAATTCATGTCACTGGAGCCTGGCAGATTACATGTCAGGGTGTTAAAGGAACTGGTGAATATTATCTGAGCACCATTGAGGGTAATCTTGGAGTGCAGGGGATTTGCAGAAAAAGATTATATTATAATCTTTTTAAGGGCGAAAAAAATTGACCCAGAAAGCTGCAGATCAATCAGCTTTACATCAATAGCTGGGAAATATTTAGAAAAAGATAATCAAGTTGTGGCTTTGTAAACATTTACAAAGGGATAAGATCTTCACTAAATACAGGATGGTTTTATTAAAAATAGATTGTGCCAGATTAATCTTATTGATTTTTTTCTGATACAATGACTAGATCAGCAGATCAAGGGAATGCTTTGAATATAGTGTACCAAGACTTCAATAATGCATATGATAAAGTTGACTATAGCTTCCTAATTAATGAAATGGGATGGATGGTCTGATTACTAGATGGATTCAGAATTATTTGAACAAATATTCCCATCATGTGTCCTTAATGGATCTACTATATCTGTATGAAGAAAGTTATGTAGTAGGAACCTCAGGGTTCTGTCCTGGGCCAGGTATTCAACATTTTTATAAGTAACCTAGACAAGGAGATAGAAGGGATGGTCAGCAAATCTCCAGATGAAATACAGCTGATGATGATTGCTAATATCTCAGAAAACAGGCTGAAAATTGAAAAGGGTTTGGAGACACTTGAACCTTTTGCCTTTTTCAATAAACATCCAATTCAGCAGTGAGAAATATAATATTCTGCACTTCGGCAGGAAAAATCAGATGCACAAATACAAGACAGGCAATACTAGGCTGGTGGCAGTATATCCATAGATGAAGGGCAAAAACCAGTGGATCAAGCTTTACAGAGAGGAAATGAAATTCAATAAGGAATTCTTTATTGATTATAGGAGCTGTTAAGTAGTGGAACAGCCTGCTTTCTGGAGTTGTGGGGACTTCATCAATGTTGGGTAGCTATTTGTCTAAGATGGTTGAGGCTTCCTACCCATGGGCAGGGATGGAGCCAGAAGACTCTCAAGTTGCTTCTGCTCCTATGATATTCTGAACATTTAGACATCATTGCTGTCACCACCATGCCTATAGCTAGATATGGGATCCACATGTATAAACAGTAAAATATCAGAAGTATGTGGTATATCATACTCAATTCAAGATTATTTCACTCAATTTTTTTAATAGTAACATGTAGTTAACTGATTAAAAATTCCTCTTATGCCTTTGCTTCACAACTGGGTTTCCTAGCATGAGTCTTGCAAGTGTCCGTGGGCCTTCATATACAGTACCTTTCATTGGAACCTACAAAGCTTTCACATCTTTTTACATCTTTAAAGCTATTTTTTATTAAAAGTATCTGGCATGCTATAAAACAATTTGACTGAATTGTATTTATTTCCAAGACGTCTTTAGCCACCATATGAGCTAATGAGCTTTCTCAAAAATTAAAAATGAGCAGCTATAGTCCAGTACTTTGTTTGAAAGTGTACCTATTTTCCCAGGAAAAAAAGAAATATAGGGGGGTGGGGGAATAGTTAGCAATATAAGTGCATTTTAATTTTGTGACTAGCAAGATTTCCCAGCTACCATCTTGTGAAAGTTCCCAATCATATTCTCTGCGAGAATCCCAGAATTGGTAAACTGGATTTGTTTCATTTTGAATTTTTTTTTAATATATGAAATTATCCACTGAATTAAATCAACTTAAAAAAATACGAAAAACAGGAAGATATTGAGTAAGTTCTAAATCAGATTGTTTTTAAGGTTGTTGCTTGCTATATTTGTACGTTGTTTTCCTATCTGACAAGGCAGATCTATAGATTCAGTAAGCATAAATTAAAAATGCATAGATACATGTAAAAAAGAATAATTTCTTAAAGATTGAGACATTATTTATAAGTAATCCCCAGATATTACTGGATTGCAAGTCTCTTTGATAGAATTGGAATTTAGCAGCAGATTATGATCACAGTGTAAACTAGACTATGACTTTCTGAATAAAAATATCCAAAATCACTGTGTTCACTCGTGCAGCAATTGGTATTGAACAGAATTATTTTATCATTGTTAAAAAAAATTCAGGTGAAAAGTTATAGAATGTTTCACGATGACAGCATGAAGTCCTTTTTCCGGAGATTGACTTTTACTCCTGATGGTTCTCTACTTCTGGTTCCTGGTAAGCAGTTTTACTTCCGTTATTTCATACAGTTCTGTAAAGGTCATGGGTCTCTGAGCATTTTGGGAAAAAAACAACTGTTCATGTTAGCATGTAATGTGAGGCATGCTGACATTTTTTATTATTTTGATTACTCTAAATCAGAAACATGACTTTTGTCGTCAAGGCCTGCATTACAAATGTGAAATATTTTGGGGAGATTGGATTTTGCTCTTTAATTCCTCAACTTCCAAATACACAAAAAGTATTTATATTTCTTTTGAGTTCAAAGGGGAGTATTTAAATTGTGGGTTTTTAACTGTAGATTTTTAATGTTGTACAGGGTCACTGTGTGTGAGTTGTGTGGCTATATAAATTTGGTATAGATGGATGGACGGGCAGGCAGGCAGGCAGGCAGGCAGGCAGGCAGGCAGGCAGACAGACAGAGTGTATTGGGCCGAGAATTACTCAGTTTATTACCTTGTTGTTGGGTTCTTATTTCATTTATTTATTAAGTACCACCCATCTTGCCAAATGTGACCCTAGGCCACTTACAATTATATGTTTTTAACTTCAATTTTTGCCAATATCAAATTATCAAAATTAAGAGATTCTAAACTAATTAGATTTCTTTNGAGGGACCGGTCCCAACCATGCTTTGTCTGATAATGCCCAATAATATACTAGTGGCAGAGGCAGGCTTGTTTTCTGTTGAAAGTGTCTCTGATAAGTGGTCGAATTTTGAATGGAAATATTCAATTGGTGTAATGTTTTTGTTGTTGTGTTACCATAGATCCGTCCTTTTTTATTTGTTTGTGAAGACAGTTCTTAAAGACCAATTAGCACATTTCACGATGGCTTGACCCGTGGAATGATAGGGAAAGCCATGAGTAAAAACAATATTCCAAGTTGTATAAAAGTGTAAAAAAGGCCACTGAAAAAAAGGCTGGCCCTTTTTAAGGAAAAGGGCTTACCCAAGGCTGTAATGGCCAAAAAAAAAATGATGAGAAACAACATGTGCAGCCGTGTCTCCTGTGAGGCGTGGCCCAAATTGTTCCTGAATAGGTATCAATAGATCAATGAACACATTTTCAGGAAGCCAAAAAAAAATAAATAAAGAATATGGGTAACATCCATGTGCCATAGTTGATTAGTGGCAAAAATACGGGGTTTAAGAAAACATTAAAAAAAATAGGCCTAGGAAGGGAAAAAATGACTGTGCATATGAAAAATAAAATATCTTGTAGCAGCTGCTGTCAAAGGAAAAACAAAGTAAAAAATTGGGGTCAATCCTGGGTGTGATGTAAGCACCTGGAAGATTAAAAATAAGTTGGCACACATAATGAGAGTCAGAGAGTAAGTTAAAAGACTGGTGAGAAAAGGTGTGAAAAACCAAGATAGCAGCAGCTAATTCTGAGCATTGTGGTGAGGACTGTATTGCAGTGTAGGACACTTTTTAGGCAACATCATGAGGATCTTTGTAAGCAATAGCTTGTGGCAAGGAAGAAGAAGAAAGCAGAGGATGGACAGGAAAGGAAAAAGTCATTAAACAAGCAAGTCAAAGATCTTTAGGCAGGTGATATGAAATACAGCCTATATACTGAAGAGATACGTTATCCTGAAAATAAAATTGAAAATTAGATTTTGGAATAGAAAAAACAATATTAATTAAATCAGTTCCATTTTGATGGCAATCTCGTGTGCATCCTAAGGTTATCATTTCAGCAACTACCTGGATAAAAAATAAAACATTTTGGGATGGGGTGTGGGGTAAATAAAGTCATTCTATACAATATATTTTTTGTACTTTTATCACAGCTAAAACTCCTGTAGGTAATTTAGTAGGAGGAAAAATCAAAAGTGTTAACTGACAATGTTTATGTGGAATTCTGTCCACAAATTAAGTATTCAAGATGTCATTAATTCGTTCCACTGTGGCAAGTGCTCCAGATGGAACTACAATAAAATTTTTAGGTTGCTTTTCTTTGGTCACTAAAATCAAATAATGGACTGAGCAAATTTGTAGGCAAAGAGGATGCCTAACAATTGCTGTAAATTGACCAATGAAATAATTTTGGATAGGCTCAAATGAGGAAAAGCTGGGGTAACTTGCATTCCATAAAGACTGAAATCATGTTGTATTTCTGAAAGCCAAATTAGATTGTGTCTTTGGTGTTCCAATTAGAATATCACCCATTAAATGATATACCAAAGCCAATGGGTGACAATTGTGCTACGCAGCAAGAGTGGATATCAAATTTCCCCTCTGTTCCACCCTTCTCAAATGCAATTCTAAGCAGAGGAAAAAAAAAATTTCAAACGAACAGCTCCCCCCTCTTTTTCCCCCCCTTCTCTCTCGCGCCTGTAAAGCAACACAGCCAGCCAAAAGAGACAGGGGGGGGGGGGAAACTCATCACCAAAAATAGGTTTCTCTCCGTCATATGCCTTTCCATAAAACTCTTCTCACCCATCCTTCATCCTATCTATCTCCGCCT